TTGTTTCTACGACTAGGCCATTACAACTTTTGCACATGGACCTTTTTGGACCTTCAAGAACTATGAGTTTAGGAGGTAATTACTTTGGCTTTGTTATCGTTGATGACTATTCGAGGTTTACATGGACACTCTTTCTTGCTCATAAGTATGATGCACTTAATGCTTTTAAGAAATTCATTAAATTGGTTCAAAATGAAAAAGACTCTCACATTGCATCCATTAGAAGTGATCATGGGGGAGAATTTGATCAAGACGGCTTTGATGTCGTTTGTGACGAATTAGGCATTGAGCACAATTTTTCAGCCCCCCGTACACCACAACAAAATGGCGTGGTTGAACGGAAAAATAGGTCTCTTGAAGAGATGGCTAGAACTATGCTCAATGAGGCAAATCTTCCTAAATATTTTTGGGCGGATGTCGTGAGTACCGCGTGCTACGTGTTAAACCGAGCCGTCATTAGACCGATACTCAAGAAAACGCCCTATGAACTTTACAAAGGAAGAAAGCCTAACCTTTCCTATTTTCATGTCTTTGGATGTAAAGTTTTCAATCATAATAATGGAAAAGATAACTTGGGAAAATTTGATGCTAAGTCAGATGAAGGAATTTTCTTAGGTTATTCTCTTCGTAGTAAGGCATATAGAGTGTTCAACAAGTGTACTAAGACCGTAGAGGAGTCTATTCATGTTGTCTTTGATGAATTTGATGCTCGCTTGGCGAGAAAAGGTATTGTTCATAATGTTGCAGGTTCTTATGATGATGATGAAGAAATCATTAAGGAAAAGGAACCGGAAGAAGAGAAAATGCAGGAACAAACGGAGCTTCCTAAGGAATGGAGAACATTAAAGAACCACCCGATTGACAATGTCATTGGTGACATAACGCAGGGAGTTTCTACTCGTAATTCTCTTAGGAACACAATTAATCACATGGCCTTTGTTTCTCAAATTGAACCAACAACCGTTTTGGATGCTATTAATGATGAACATTGGTCTATGGCAATGCAAGAGGAGCTTAACCAATTTAAACACAATGATGTTTGGGAATTGGTGCCTAGAC